CGACGACAGCTGGCTTTTGGAAGGCGACCGGTCGGGACAAGGCGATTGTCTCCAAGGAGAGAATCATAGGGATGAGAAAGACTTTGGTCTTCTACAAAGGCCGAGCACCAAACGGGAGAAAAACCGATTGGATCATGCACGAATATCGTCTCCAGACATCCGGACTCGGACCCCCTCAGGTGAAAATACAAAACTTTGAATATATAATACTAACTTATGAGTTAGCTAGCTAACAGTTAGACGGTCGGTATGATGAGTCATATTTTATGAACAAAAATGCATACTTATACTATACTAAGATGTTATACTTTTCTTTATGTTGCAATTTTCTAAAGTATGATACTTGTGTGTAAAAGTATGCATATCTGATGAAAAAGTATGGTTGTCTAACTGTTAGATCTGTCTAACAACAGTCGTATTGTATTCAATGTCATATAATGAAAACTACTTATATATATATCTTGCTCGATCACAAGCTCCAAATATAGTTTTCTTCGACATAGTTATAATCTGATCAAATTCTTGTCGATGCGAATTATATAACAGGAAGAAGGATGGGTCGTTTGTCGCGCGTTCAAAAAGCCAAGCCCGAGCCACAAGCAAGGCTTCGAAGCTTGGAAAAACGCTTACTACATTAGAAACAATGATGATGCCTACAAGCCCCCATCATACCCGAGCACCCCGAATCTCATGCCTAATTACGATCCGGCCCTTGATCAAGCTGCGAATTTCCAACCAACCCCAATATTTTCCGCTAAATCTCTCCAAGGCCCGTTCAAGAGCCAAATAGTCGAGCTACGAAAGCTCGATAGCCCGAGCTTTGCGACCAATGATAGTAGCTTCGAGCATAGTGTTATGGCCGATGAGGAGATTGAAAATGAGAAGGGTAGTTTCGGAAATCAATTTTACGACGAGTGGAGGAGCTTCGACAAGATGATTGCACCACAAGTCGTGGGGTCATCGTCGCCTTATGCTTATCCAAGCGCGCCCTTAGTTTCGAATGGAGGCGTGATGGATGCTCATAGCCATTTCAGTTGTGTGCTCGAATGCTTTCCTTATGGTTTATAGATTTGTTCAACCACTGATTTTTTTTTTTTAATTGAAAGGTGAAATTGTAAAAATAACACTGGAAATGAATTAACCATGCAAAGGGGTGCGTTTTTTTTTTTTTGGTTTTGAATAATGTTGCCATGGCTATGATCATGCTTTAATTTGGGCAAAAATTGATAGTGTTAATTTCAGAATTCTTGACATTTTTGTCTTCTTCGGTTGTTGTAATTCAATTGTGGGCTTCTTGATTTATGGATGTCTTTAC